GCTTATTTGTCCCCTTCAATTCAGTGTTGAGAGCCACTATAGCTGGCACAGAACAGCAGTCATGAGTGAAAGAACAAAATGTCCCTTTGGGGCAGCATTCAGAAAAAGAAAGAAAGCAAAGGAAGCTTTTCTATCTAAGCAGGAAGGAGCTCTCCCCTGAGATACATAGACACAAATGTTCACGCTGAGCCTTCCGGCCCCAGTGAGGATGTGAGTGGTGAGGAGTTGCCTGATCTTCCAGTTAGTCAGAGTGCAGGTGACCTGGCAGCTACTGCAGCATCCATATCTCCATCTCAAATGGATGTAACCATGCACATTCCTGAAGAAAAGTGTAGATTAGAGAAGAGTGTGGTGGAGGCGCAAGAAACAGCTACTGCTGAATTTAGTTCCTTAAGTCTAGATGATCCAGGACTGTGGACCCATTTGAGCAGTAGCCTGAGGGACTTCCTTGTACTACATGGGCCACAGCAAGTGGAGAATTTCATGTTTCCCAAAGACAATGAAAATAGAAGTTTCCATCCAACACATTACTGGTGTGAAATCCCCAATGGTAACAAAGTGGAGAGGCCATGGCTTACGTACTCAAAAGCCCAGAATGATGCATACTGCTTTTCTTGAAAACTCTTCCAGTCTAATGTTCCAGTCACATTGGGTTCTACAGGAACAAAGGACTGGAAAAATCTGGCTAGAAATCTGGCATGCCATGAGAAGGCAGCTGTCATAACTATAAAGGGAAGGGTAACAGCCCTCCTGTGTACAATGCTATAAAATCCCTCCTGGCCAGAGACTCCAAAATCCTTTTACCTGTAAAGGGTTAAGAAGCTCAGGTAACCTGGCTGACATCTGACCCAAAGGACCAATAAGGGGACAAGATACTTTCAAATCTTGGTGGGGGGAAGGCTTTTGTTTGTGCTCTTTGTTTTGGGGGTGGTTCGCTCTTGGGACTGAGAGGGACCAGACATCAATCCAGGTTCTCCAAATCTTTCTGAACAAGTCTCTCATATTTCAAACTTGTAAGTAAACAGCCAGGCAAGGCATGTTAGTTTATCTTTGTTTTCTCAACTTGTAAATGTACCTTTTTGCTAGAGTGTTTATCTCTGTTTGCTGTAACTTTGAACCTAAGGCTAGAGGGGATTCCTCTGGGCTCCTTAAGTTTGATTACCTTGTAAAGTTATTTTCCCTCCTGATTTTACAGAGATGATTTTTACCTTTTTCTTTAATTAAAAGCCTTCTTTTTAAGAACCTGATTGATTTTTTCCTTGTTTTTAGATCCAAGGGGGTTGGATCTGTATTCACCAGGGAATTGGTGAAGAGTCTCTCAAGGCTACCCAGGGAAGGGAATTAGCATTTTGGGAGTGGTGGCAGTGGACCAGATCTAAGCTGGTAGTTAAGCTTAGAAGTTTTCATGCAGGCCCCCACATTTGTACCCTAAAGTTCAAAGTGGGGAAGCAGCCTTGACTGCAGCAAATCACCAGAGACCATTCCATAGGTGGAAAGAGCTTAAGATGAGACTAAGGTTAAAGGCCACCACAGACGATCAGCATCAAGAGAAGATTGCATCAGAGTCTCTTTACTGGCAAAATGTTCTGAAAAGGCTCATTGCCATTCTGAGAATGCTTGCTATCCAAAACCTAGCACTGCATGGCACTTCAGCTCAGCTGTATGTGCCAAACAATGGAAACTTCCTTAAAATTGTGGAGCTGATGGCTGAGGTTGATGCTGTACTCCAGAAGCATCTAAGAAGAGTCACCACCCACGAAATGTACACACATCTCTACCTTGGAAAAACAATTCAAAATGAGATCATAGCATTACTAGTAACAAAAGTCAAACAGAAGATTGTAGCTGATCTGAAGTCAGCAAGATATTACTCTGTTATTCTGGACTGCACACTTGACATCAGCCATAAGGAAGAAATGACTTTAATGGTGCGTTTTGTAACAACAACAGAACCTAGTGAAAATGTCCCTGCAATGGCGACTGTCAGAGAGCATTTTCTAGAATGTATTGACATTGATGATACTATAGAAGCTGGTATGACAAATGTGCTTCTTAAAAAGCTGGAAGATACGGGAATTGTGATAGCTGACATAAGAGGTCAGGGCTACGATAATGGTGCCAACATGAGAGGAAAGACTAGAGGAGTGCAGACACGGATTCGAGAGTTAAACCCTCAAGCTTTTTTTGTCCCATGCAGTTCTCATTCTTTGAACTTGGTGGTCAGTGATGCAGCATCAGCTTCTAGTGAGGCTGCTGAATTTTTTAATGTAATTCAAAGCTTCTATGCATTTTTCTCTGCATCAACTCATTGATGGCAAATTTTGAAGCAACATCTGGGAATATCCTCTCTGACACTGAAACCACTGAATGCCACACGATGGGAAAGTCAAGTGGAGACGATAAAGCCTATCAAACACCAAATTGGGAAGATAGATGATGCCATGGAGGATAATGCTATGACAGGAACTGTTCGTGAGAGAACAGTGGCAGAGGGAAATGGAATCACCAGAAACATACATAACTTCAAATTTCTGTGTGGCTTCGTGTTGTGGCATGACCTACTGTTTGAAATAAATGTTGTAGCAAGAGACTCCAAGATGTTGACCTTGATATATCTGGAGCAATGGAATAACTTGACAAAGCAAAGTCATACCTACAGTCTTATCGGTCAGATGAGGGATTTCAAAACGTTCTGAAGAGTGCACAGTAGTTGGCAGAGGAACTTCAAACTGAAGCTATTTTTTCACCCATTCAAGAATACAAGAGTCACCGAAGAAGACGACATTTTGATTACGAGGCACGGGATAATCCCATAAAAGACCCCAAACAACAATTCAAAGTTGAATTTTTTAAGCAGGTGCTAGATTGTGCAATACAGTCAGGTGAAGAATGTTTCATGCAGCTCAAGGAACACAGCAGTATATTTGGGGTGTTGTATGATATTCCAAAACTCCTCACTATACCTGAAGAAGACCTACACCAGCAATGCAGGGCACTAGAGACAGTGTTGACACATGATGACATGCGCTATATTGATGCGAGTGGTTTAGGTGATGAACTAAAAGCCCTTTCAAGGTACATTTCAGCAGGATCAACTCCAAAGGCTGTTCTGGAATATCTGTGCACAAATAAGATGACCACGCTCTTTCCAAATGCTTTTGTTGCGCTGCACATACTTCTAACACTTCCTGTAACAGTTGCCAGTGAAGAACGCAGCTTCTCCAAGCTGGAGTTAATAAAAACACATCTATGCTCCACAATGACACAGCATAGGCTGGTTGGCCTTGCAACCATCTCAATAGAGCATGAGCTGGCCCAGACTGTGGACCTTCAGGAAGTAGTTCACATCTTTGCAACCAAGGCCCCACGGAAAGCACCACTTTGATTATTCAAACAGGTAAAAATGCCAGTGTTTACTATGCAGACAAGAAAAGTTACATTTGTTGTTCAGGCATTTGAAAGTTAAGTGTTACTTAAAATTTTTGAACAAGGCATTTTAAGTTGTTAGTTCTCCTTTACTGGGGTAGGTAGCAGAGCAGTACAATGAGAGGAGTAGAACAGGAAGAAGGCAGAATTGAGACCTTTCAAAGTTTTGGCCCAAGTGAGGTGGCATGGGGGCGTCATTTGAGCTCTCCGCCTCAGGTGCCAAAATGTTGTGAGCTGGCCCTGCCAGGGATTATTGTGGTATCACTCACCGCAAAGGGAGAGTGGCGGGAAGGGCTAAGTTCATAACGTGCTGAAGTTCCTCCTGTGACAGACAAGTTACCAGCAGTGGCGGGAAGGTCTCAGGCCTGGGTGCTGCGGGAGGTCAGACTAGATGAGCGGACGGTGCCGGGGGTGCACAGGGAGCAATGTGTGCAGTGTGGGGCTGAGAGCCACTGACCCGAACTGCAACCCATGTGTGTGATGGGAACCACTTCAGGAGCGGTGCCGCTGGCTTCAGAACCCCTCTCACAGAGAAACCTGCAGAGCAGGGCCCAGCCACCTCGTAGCGCATCACTGGGCTGGACCTTAACTGCTACTCTGGCCATTGCAGCCCCGGGGCCAAGTTCCCCGCGGTGCCAAATCCTCCCCCTTCAGCTTCCCCTTCGGCCCCGACTGCCCGGCCGGGTTCTGCCCAGCGACCGGTGATGGAGGCGGGTCTGTGCATCGCTATTGGTTGGATGTTCCCCTCTCAGCCAATCGCTGCAGCGCAGAGGCTCCCACGGTGAGTAGCGGGGACTGGGGAGCTGGCAGCGGGTAGCGAAGTTCTCGGGGCCTGGCTGGGCTGTGAGCGGCCGAGAGCGGGTCCATGGGCTGAGTCCTGCCGCGCTGGGGGCAGCCGGGCCGGGGGTGCAGGGAGGGGGGAGCTGGGTGTCGGGGGAGACCGGGCCGGGGAGGTGCAGGGAGGGGAGAGCTGGGTGTTGGGGGGCAGCTGGGCTGGGGGTGACTGTGGGGGGATGGGTGTCGTGGGGCAGCTGGGCCAAGGAGTTGCAGGGAGGGGGGAGCTGGGTGTCGGGGGCGGGGCAGTTCTGGGCTCTGTGGTCAGAGGTGTTGGGATAACCACCCCGCGCTCCCCCCCAGCACTGAGCGGTCACTGACATCGAACAGTGACGTTGTTATAGTGACTGGGGGGGTCCGGGCCCCCTTGTGCCAGGTGCTGCCAGGGGTGCTGCTGGGACAATGTTTGTGGGCGGGGGGGAGTGGTTGAGAGCCCCTGACCCGAACTGTAACTCCTTCATCTAATGCCAACCACTCCCAGCCAGGGGATGCGGCACCGTTAGGACCAGCACCTATGGGTGCTGCACACGCTGACAATCCCCGTGATGCTCCCAGGCTGTCGGGAAATCCCCGGTGCCAGGCGCTGCCCAGGCTGTTTCATTCCCAGCATCTCAGGGCAGGGCGGGGATTTCAGACACGATTCCTGTGTGCAGAGCTCAGGCTGACTGTTAGTGAGAGGGAGTAGATTACTCCCCACCCCCCATGGACTAAAAAGGGAAAAGGCTTCTTGGATCTCTGACCTTTAATGGCTCCCAGAAGGTTCTTCACGCTGGGTTTAACCCCAGTGCCTGGAACTCCTGAGTGTGGCTTGTCCTTGGCTACATACAGCTGGGCTCCGTCAGCACCAGTCCAGTGACCCCACGGTCAGTGATGGGACGTGTCTGTAATGGAGACAAGTCTAATTAGAGGTGTCAGCTTAGGGAGGGGACGTGTCTGGTCTCTGGCCGTGCGACCAGGGCAAGGGGAGAGGTTAGAGCCCAAGGATCTTTGCATTAATCAGGTCTCAGTTTGGGTGCAAGCTCCCGTTGCAGAGCCTGGAACAACTGCTGAGTTTGTGCTGTTGGGACCTCCTGTGACTGCGGGATAAAGAGTTTCAGGGTGCCAGTAAGGTGGGGGAGGGGCAGGCACATCCTGCTTTTCCTAGCATGAACTTGAATCTTCCATGGCCCCAATCTTGGCCCAGAGTTCGCCGGGCGGCAGCAGCTCAGACGCCAGGGAGCTCAGCAGCCCTTATCCAGCTGCGTGAAGCTGCGGGTTGGCCTTGGGGGTTTGTTTGAAGTGGTCTCAGGCACATTGTTGCCCTCGGGTCACCTCAGTAGCAGGCTTGGTTTGACATAAACAGGGTTAGGCCCAGTGCAGCCTGGCCCTGCGGGGTTGAGTCAGGGGCCAGGAACGAAAGCAGGGAAGTGAGGGGGTGTATGTGCCGGATTATCCCTGCAGCAACGAGACAGGAGGCCCTCACTCCCAGTCCCGGTGTAACTCCAGTGGTGCAGAGGTTTGGCCTGGGGCCTGCAGGGCTGGGTGTGTGTGCAGAGAAGGACGTTGATGATGATCAGAGAGGGTCTGGGCCAAGCTCATATTCTCACTGTCTGGTTTGGCTTTTTTAATGCATTACATCCAGCACCAGCTCCTGTCGGTGCCTGGCTGGGCCTTTGTCGTCTGTGCTCATTACATTAAAGGTGACCTGAGAAGGGGGAAATAGGCCTAATTCATAAAGTGCTTGGAGATCCCCGCATGACAGACAAGTCACTGAGCTCCATAAAGGCACTGCTGGATGTTCTCAGGCCTGCGTTCAGCAGGAGCTCAGAGTAGATGAGATAATGGTGTCAGGGGTGCTGGGCATGGGCGGTGAGTGAACAGCTGGCCTAGCCTCAGCCCCACCCCTTCCAGCCAAGGCCCCACACCTTCCATGCCACCCGGAGCGCAGCCCCAATTGTGGCTACTAGCCTCTGTCCTGCGCCCCCAGGTCCCTCCCTGCATTATGGCTGCTGGCACCTGCCCAAGGCTAGTGCCTCCCCGCAGTGCGGGATAGCCGCATGGCCCAGCTCCCCCCTAGTGCGGGATAGCTGCGTGGCCCAGCTCCTCCCGAACCCGTCCTGCCAGGCAACTCCAGCCAGCTTCCCCCTGGCCCTCTCCAGCCACGCTGTAGCCCCGGCCCCACAGCCTTCTCGGAATGGAGCCACATGGCTGCCTGGCTTCTCTGGCAGAGCCGGGGCTGTGCAGCTGCCCCAGGGGGTGGAGTGGGGCCGAGTGGCTGCTCTGGGGGCCAGAGTGGGGCTGGGGGAGGATATGGGACTGCCCAGCTGCTCTGGGGGTGGGCGGCGGGGGGGAGATGGGGCCGCTCGGCGCTCTGGGGACCGGGAAGGTGGGGCTGCCCAGTGCTCTGGGGGCTGGGAGGAGGGGAGATGGAGCTGCCTGGGGCTTTGGGGGCCAGAGTGGGGCCGGGAGGGAGATGGGGTTGCCCAGCGCTCTGGGGGTTGGGGGGGGGATGAGGCTGCCTGGGGCTCTGGGGGGCCGAGGTGGGGAGATGGGGTTGCCCAGTGCTCTGGGTACCAGGGGAGAGAAGATGGGGCTGCCCAGGCTCTGGGAGGGATACGCTTGCCTTGGGCAGGGGGAGGGGGGAATCCAGCAGCCAAATGGAGGGGACTGGGGGTGCAGGGCAGGGGCTAGTGGCCACAATGGGGGCTGGCCTCTGGAGTCTGGTGGGCATGGAAGGGGCGTGGCCTTGGGCAGAAGGGGCGGGTCTGGGGCTTGCCGCCTCAACCCAAGCCTTCACCCACCGCCCATGGTGGGACTCCTGTCTCCACCTCTCTGCTGCAGTCCCTTTACTCCTAAAGGAATTTAAAATTGGTGATGCCTCCACCTTGCTGGGCCCCTGTATACACACAATGGCGCACACTCCAGGAATAAACCTATTCTAACAATCATCTGTGGCACTGGTCTAACTCAATTATAAATAATATACATCCAATGTACTTAAATTAGATTTAACACACCTTTACTTAGTTTAAAGAAACGGAATAACAGACTGAGATTAAATGTCACTACTAATTTAAATGCACAGGGGGCAGTTGAATAAAATCAATTCACAAATACAGGATATAGTAATAATTGAAATGTATAACTGGCATTTACACTGCCACCATTTACCCCACCCCGGAGTGCACACTCCTCTGGATTTCAGAGTCCTTGACACGTGCATGGGAGTGCTTGGAGATCTGCAGCTGGAGCCAGCACTCTGCAGGTTCTGTGTATCTGTCCAGCCAAGGCAGCAAACTGCACACCCCTCTGCCGACGGGAGTTGGCCCTACCAAACGTCAGCAGCTCTGGGTCCCGGTTTGATAGGACGATGGCTCTGCCTCTCCTCAGACTCAGTCTCTCTGCTGTGCCCCTTCCCTTGCCAGCACTTTCCCAAAGCAGAATGGGGGTTACTCACCGTTCCTCCTCTGCAGGCTCCAAGCACAGCAACAGTCTCTGCTCGGACTCCAGTGAAGCCACCAACAGCCTTTGAGGCTCCCTGCAGCTCAAAGCCCCGGCAGCCTCCAGCAGCTTCCTAGCAGCAGCTGGCCTGACCAGATGAGAAGTGCGAAAAATTGGGACAGGTGGGGATAATAGGTGCCTATATTAGACAAAGCCCCAAATATCGGGACTGTCCCTATATAATCAGGATATCTGGTCACCCTAGCACAGGGGTTCTCAAAGTGGGGGTTGGGACTCCTCAGGGGGTCACGAGTTTATTACATGGGGGGCTCGTGAGCTGTCCACCTCCACCTCAAACCCCACTTTGCCTCCAGCATTTATAATGGTGTTAAATATACAAAAAAGTGTTTTTAATTTATAAAGGGGTGGCACACAGCGGCTTGCTATGTGAAAGGCGTCACCAGTACAAAAGTTTGAGAACCCCTGCCCTTGCAGCAGCGCCTGGTATGGACAGAGCTCCACCCCAGCAGCCTGGCTCCAATCCCCAGCGCAGAGCCCGTTGCCCCCCCCTCCCCCGCAGTCCTCTCCTGGGGCATCATGGGAGTTGTAGTCTCTAGGGCTAGATTGCAGCACAGGATCTCCCTAACTGGGAAACTCCCAATAAAGGCCAGAGGCCCCTCTAGCAAAGCGGTGTGTGGGTGGGGGCTATATTAGTTAATTGCTGCTCTGGTCATTACAGCCCCGGGGCCAAGTTCTCCGCGGCGCCAACCCCCTCAGACTTTCGCTTCCCCTTCGCCCCCGCCTGCCCAGACGGGTTCTGCCCAGCGACCGGTGATGAAGGCGGGTCTGTGCGTCGCTATTGGTTGGATGTTCCCCTCTCAGCCAATCGCTGCAGCGCAGAGGCTCCCACGGTGAGTAGCGGGGACTCGGGAGCTGGCAGCGCAGCGAAGTTCCCGGGGTCTGGTCGGGCTGTGAGCGGCCGAGAGCGGGTCCATGGGCCGAGTCCTGCCGCGCTGAGGGGGGCGGCGATGGCCCTGGCGCTGCGCCTGCTGCTGCTGGGGGCTGTAGCCCTGCAGGGGGGTCACTCCCGTGAGTATCGGGGACGTGGGCAGCCGGGCCGGGGCGGTGCAGGGACGCCCAGAGGATTCAGGGGGCCCCCGCCGCCCAATTGCCGCCGAAGACCCGGAGCGGAAGAAGCTCCGGGGTCCCGGGCACTCGGTGTGAAGTACCCCGCTCCAGGGGCCCTGAAAAACTCTCCTGGGGGCCCCTGCGGGGCCTGGGGCAAATTGCCCCACTTGCCCCCCCCCCCGGGCGGCCCTGGGGAGAGGGGAGCTGGGTGTCAGGGGGCAGCCTGGCCGGGGTGTGTGGGGAGGTGGTAGCTGGGTGTCGGGGGGCGGCCAGGCTAGTGGGGTGTAGGGAGGGGGGAGCTGGGTGTCGGGGG